ATTTAGATGTCTATGACGCGTACTGACTGTAACCCCCACTACCTTGCCATTTCCATCCATCGGTGGGGAAATCACTTCTGCTCTATCATTTCCTGCATATGACATATCAGGCTTCACTTCTGCAAGACTCTCAACGCGCCCTCTCCATCTCTTGCGCTTATTCCTTTCCCTGTTCACATAGCTTCTCGGTCTTTGAAACTTCCGAGCATAACCTTCAGGCTCATATGGTTCACTGGTACTGCAATCTTCACGGTTGTTCATCATCTCATCTCCAAATCGCATTTCGGCATCATTATCTCGCATGCTGGTTACATCAGCAATCACTTCTTGCAAATCACCCACCTTAACAAAATTGACAGAAGCTTCTCCATCTGAACGTTGACTGGTTCCGCCCTCAACGTTGAGAGAAGTAGTACTATCCTCAGATTCTTGGTAAGCTTTTGAATATATTCCAATGGTGGGCATATCTGATGAATCAGGCAATCAAATGAATATAGAATCAATGAAAAGGAAGAAAAATTCCCAAAATGGAAAAAGTAAAACAACATTTTCTTAATAAATTAAGATGCAAATTTCACCTGATGGTGGCACAGGGCAACCATCTACCAAACCTCTGTACACACAGTACTCATGAACAATCTCATCAAATGCAGCAACATCCAGTTTCATTCGGCATACCTCATTCTGTAACAGACAGATGGGCAAAAACCGCAGTAAGAATACAAACCATAAAAGAAGATGGAATTGCAGAAGAAAAGTCTTCAAGTAGTTTAAAGGTAATATATATACTGGATAACAGGGCTAAAAGGAAACACAAAGACAAATTCCTGATAAGATCTCCCTGGAGTCGAAACTTTCCCCATCACTTTCAAACAATAAAGTAAAATCATGAAATTGATTGCAACCAGACCTTAAGAAAGCCTAAAAAGAATGAAAGCTTATGCCATAACTTCCTAACAGACACCCATCTGAACCTGTTTAGAAGTTCACAAACAAACCATAACTACAAAAGCCAGAAATGGGAGCCCACAGAGCTGCGCGTCAAAAATTAGAATGAGGAACAAGACACACAAGACCATAACATATGATTTTATTCTCTTTATCTTAAACATTCTTGTAATGTGCCATTCTCCAATCAGTTAGGCATGAAGTCTTTCACATCCACTGAATAGCAAGGGATATAAAGGACCAGTAAAATCATACATGAGTGTACTTGGAGAGAGCATTGTGGTGAGTTGCAGAGCAAGACAAGCACTTGGAACCCAGTGCCATCACCACAGATGACATCAACAAGTCCATGATAAAACCCCACATCCTCCACGTCTCCTTCTGTCAACCACCTGAGAAAGCCATGGACCCTCATTTCCTGCCCTATCCCCCTTACACACTACCTCTGCATTTTGGTGAGTTGCAGAGCAAGACAAACACTTGGAACCCAGTGCCATCACCATAGATGACATCAACAACTCCATGATAAGGCCCTGACAACCTCCACCCTGACAACCTCCACAAGCCTCCTTCTCTCTACCCTCTTTCAAAAGCCATGGAGATAGTGTGAGTTTGTCAAATGCTCAACAAGCCCCTCATTTCCTGCCCCCTCCCCCTTACCTACAACCTCCGCTGCCTCCTTTCCCCATTGCATCAGTCACCCCATTGCAAAACCAGGTTCAGTTCTAACCTTTTCAGATCCATTTATTTCTCCATCCTTTTCCACCCACCTCCTTCCTCAACAACCTAGAACCTATCGGGTTAAACTGCCTAGTGCCTCTTCTGACTAAAATAGCTTAGGGCATCTCAAATCTCCACCTCTCCAGAGCTGTTCTTTTACCCAGTATCACTTAGGGCATGCTTGTGTTTTGGAAGACGCAGTTTCCAAAACCAGCATCTTCCAATACTGCATCTGTTTGATAACGGGAAATACCAATAGAAGGAAAAACTAGTAGAAAATATTAGCAGTACACATTTATGAGATAAAAGATCACTATACATTCTGTCCCAAATAAATCACGATATGCCATTTCCAAACCACAGTGCATCTATAGGCCAATGTTCTGCCAATTTTAGATTAAGCCTAGTCAGTTACTAAAAGTTCACCAGTTCTAATATCAGAATTCTGAAATATAGTCCAATTTGCAGTAAAAACAAAATCATCAATAAAAGGAGAAACCAGTAAGAAGTCACCAGCATACACATATGAGATAAAAGATCACTATACGAACAATCTTAGGGCCAACTGAATATTATAACATAGAGAACTTTCGACATTCATATCAACTCAAATATTGTAGGACAATTTCTCTCCAAGCAAAAAAAACTTGCATAAAGGTCACTGAGACTAAGACTAAGTTAATACAATGGAATCAAAACAGGCTAAAACACAACCTGGAAAGCAAGAAATAGATTTCCTTTAGCATATCTCAAGGCATCCACTGCACCTTGTCTTGTTAATTCAACAGCATGTGCAAGGGCTTGTATTTCAACCTGAAACAACAAATTATTATACATATTAGACTCAAAAAGTTTTAAATTGTGAGAGGAATTATTTCAGTGAGTCCTGCCTCATCAAAAGGTGGTGCCTCATATAGATTCTCCTGTGGAATTGCAGGAGGGTCACGCTCTTCTGGAAGCAACTTCTTGGCAACATCTGAAATGGGTGATGTAACACCTTGTCGGAAGCAGAACCCATTGTGGATCCTGCATATTCTCAAAAGTAAAAGTAAGCACGGGCATTATCAAGAATCCTCATTATTGAACTTTATATTCGCCTATCACAGCTGATACAAACCTTATTAAGTACCTCAGAGCCATTGAAAAGAGAGGATCATATGCCTGCAGCTGAGCCTTTAAAACAGACGAAATCAAAGCCGCTAGATCAAACCTCCTCCTTTCAGACCACTGAAACAAAGAACGAATTGTAAAATGGGAATCATCAGATTACTATAAAAAGTGATGAATTCAGTAAGTACACTAGCCACTGCAAAACAATTCATGTGATAACTATAAAAACTTTAAAGTTGAAAACCAGAAGACTACAGAAAAGGCAGTTACTTTACAGAAAACTTTGCCTGTAGAAAGATTTGCAGGTTATCAAATCCAAGCATTCAAGAAGAGATGGATTCGCCTGCCTACATGGCCAGGGCCTAGCTGCCAAATCATCGCCTCGCATTAGAGGAATGCAAAACAGAGAAAAAGGGTGGGAGGGGGTTCGGGACTTCAAGGGTGTTGTTGGGGTTCGGGTTGGATACCAAACCCCCTAAACTCTACTTTTGTAATAAGTAACAAAAAAAGAATCCAACTTTTAAGATGTTTTGTGTCCAATTATGTTTTACTAGTTTAGACCTGTACCACCCATAGTTGTTGCACTAAAGGGGGATGTGTACCCTAAAGAGATAGGAGGTAAGCTTATATTTCATAATTGAGTCTCTATCTTTCAGCAAGTTAGACAGAGTATGACGTTTTAAAAGGGGACGTCTGATATTGAAAGAGAGATTAATTTTTACAGAATAAAGAAAGCTTTTTGTAGAGAGAGAGAGCGGCCCTTCTTGTGGGTGTTTTTTTTTCTCTTGTGCTTGTGGGTCTGTAGTGGAGGACTTGGATCCGCACGTTCGTTCCTTCTTCTTGTTGATTTCCTTCTCAGTTTTTATTTCTCTCTAAAATGCAGTTATTTTTGTTGGTAGTTGGTCACCGAAAATTTTTGTTGGTAGTTGGCCAACTGTGTCAGATAGTATCAAAGCATCACTCGATTCTTGTGGATCGTGGTATTCGTTGATAGGCATCATGGCTGGGAGACATGGTCTGTGGCCGGGTACGAAGACTAACCCCATCCAACAAGAGCAAGACTCCGAGATCCTAAGACCAAAAATTTGAGAAGGCATGTAAAGGAGCTGACGCCGTGCTTGGTGCAAAATTCAGCCCTGACACACTATGATGATAGTAGTGAGTCAGAAGCTGCTTTTGAGAACCTGTTCCACGCACATGCTCTGCGTTGGGAGCTTCATGGTCGGGAGACTGATCAAGTTAAGTTTGATGAAGAACCAGTAGGTTTGGATCTTCAATTGAAATTATTATTCCAAAATGATCTTTTCTTTGATGAGGGTCCTATATTTGATGAAGAGCAAGAAGAAAAGAAAGAAGTTGTCCTTGAGGCAATAATGATATCTAATTTTCTCATCAATGGAGAGATGGAGAATCAAGATATTGATTTGAACCAAGAGGAGATCGAGTCTATGGAAATATTTGACGAAAAGAAAGAGGAAGACCTTAAAGGAGAATCAATAGGTAAAGTTGGTTCATCCGCTGAATTTAGTGTTCATCTAAAAGATGAATATTTGGTCTGCCCTAATGTTAAGTTTGAGCAATTTCAGCAAATTTATGTGGCTGAAAATTCAACATACAACAACCCTTTCCTTGAGGGCTTATTATTTTCAATGCACAATCGTTATGTTTTGATTAGTGCAATAACAGACAAGTCTCAGGAACGAGTTTTTTTGTGAGCATAGGGAGAGCAAAAACCCTTCGATGTGTGCTCAATCATAAGTAAATGCGACATGTATGAGAGCGTGAGAGAATTTGAAGTTGTTGCACATGGCAATAAAATCAAAATTTAAAATATCAGTAATACGTGAGCAGAAACCCTTTAATGTGTGCTCAATCATGAGTGAGCGCAAATGTATGAGAGTGTGATAGAATTTGAAGTTGTTGCACACGGCAATAAAATCAAATTTTAAAATATAAATAATATGTTAAATTCTTTATTTTCTTATTTTCTAGTTTTCATCCTTCATTCCATGTTACTTTTTAAGAACTCTTACCAAGAATAAATAATACTAAAAAAATATGATACTTCAAATTTGATAATGTTTGGTAAATGGTGTGGGTACTAAACTACTAATGTAATAATGTTTAATATATGATCGGCACCGTCATTTCTTCAAGTTGAATAAGAGGATAAAAATGTTTTTCTTTAAGTAAAATAAGAAGATAATAAGGATATGAGTGAAGTGCCTATGTGGTCTTTTAGGTTAAATTAATCATTAAATATCAAAGAAATTGACTAAAAATTGAATAACTCCATTTTCAAAAGTCAAAAGACTCAAAACTACATTTAACAAAGAAGAATTACTATGTCATGTACTTATTTTATAATTCAAGAAAAGGAGATAAAGGGAGCTAGCCCTTGTTCTCGCTCCTTGTATGTCGTAGACTAGCTCCAGACCTTGTAGGCATAATAGGGTTATTAGTAGACCGAGTCCATTGTATGGGATTGTCCACAAAGATATCATAAAGGTTAACATTAGTACTTGGAGTCTTGGACTGAGTATATACAGACCAAAATTCGATCTTGTAGTAATGGGTAAATTTATATATTTTCTGAATACTTCTCATATACAGGAGGGAATTGGTTCGCAATTATAGTAAGGGGAGAATCTCGATTCCAATATGAGGAAAATCACAATTCCGGAATGGTGAGAATGGTGATTCTAAGTTGATGGGGACAACGATTCTAGAATTTTAGGAATCACAATTCCTTATTTTTAGGAATCACGATTCCATATTTTAGGAATCACGATTCCAACAACCACCGAAACAAGTGGGGTCATGTGTGATTCCATATAGGTATGAAACACGATTCCAACATGAAGGGACATCGATTCTTGCTAATAGGAAACACAATTTCTTATTTTTTGAATCGCAATTCCGAAATAGTGAGAATCATTTTTCTCAAATCCGAATCGTACAGACAATGATTCCTAGATTCCGAAACTTCTGATACACGTGATTCCATGATTCCGATTCCAAAAACGATTCGAAATTATAGATTTTTCCAACAACTATATGTAAGATTATTGAAATTGAATAAACAGATCCCTCACATGAGAAGGGGGAAGCTGAAAATCTTACTGTAATGTCTTGGCTATTACACTATGCAATCATTGAATAGTAGGGCTTCTTGTTCCTTCGAACTACGAGAGAGATTTGGGACTCGGTATATTAAACCTACTCTCAAAGCAAAAATGTGTGTACCAATGGAGACGGAAAATTTCCATTCAAGGGAGAGGTCTCTTGCTGCATATTTCTCCTTACTTCATAATATGTAGGAGGAGTTGGATAATTACCAATTGTTTAAGCCAGCCTATAACGAAGATGGGGAAAAATACAAATAGTTTGTAAAGTAGATTTGTGTTTCTAGCTCCTGGCAGAATTGAACCCTAAATTTGAGTTAGCTAGGGTTCAAATACTGAGTAGGGATGCTCTTCCAATGCTCAACAAGTATATTCTTTTGTCCATAGCGAGGAGAGTAGAAAAAGTGTCATGCCGCCTGCTCAAGTAGGTGATCAATCTGCCATTGCTTCAATCTCATTGCCTCCTAAAAACAATAAAAGGGGTGGACCTCGAAAATTCGGAAAAGGGAAACCTAATCATGGATATAAAAAGAAAGATGAAGTGTGATCATTGTACGAGAAATGGTCAAAATAACAAAATGTACTGGGCTAGTTGGCCAGCTAGCAAATTCAACAGCCATGTCAATTTAATGCTCATAATGCTTCATCAACTTCGAAAGTTGCCTTTAATACTGGTCAGCCATTTCCCAATATGATTCAAACTTTGATTTCTATTCCAAAAGAGATGATTTCAGTTCCTAAAGAGGATATAGATAGCCTTCAACAGTTGTTCTCTCTGTAAGATGGCCCATCCACTACTTTATGTCATCTTATCCACTCTCAGTAGAATTACCAAAAGTCTAAATTCTAATGTAACCTTCTTTCCTTCCTACTATGTTTTTAGGACCTGTATAGGAGGAAGACGCAACAATTTCATGAAGTTGGTGGACTCTACATTCTAGACTCCGCAACCACTCTTCAAGCCCTATAGTCAGCACCAATAAACATCAGATTTGGCAATGGCATATCCGACTTGGCCATTTAGCTTTTCAGTCTTTGAAAGATTTCCTAAGTTGGTTATTTGAACTAGTACGTCAGAGTTTCAAAATGAGGTCTGCGAACTGTCAAAACATTGTTGAAAAATAATAAAAACATTGCGCCTTTTGCTATTGTCCATTCTAATTTTACGGTCCCCATCCTGTCACATCTATTTGTGGCTATCACTATTTTGTTTCTTTTGTGGATGACTGTCCTCGGTGTACCTGTTATGAAGTTCCTCATATCTACAAGGTCTTTCATAAGATGATCCACAATCAGTTTGACATTAAATTAAGATATTGAGATCTGGTCATGTGGAGAGTATTGTAACAAAGAGGAGTATTGTAACAAAGAGTTGTTGTCCTATTTGGAAGAACAAGGTATCGAACATCAAAATTATTATTCTTAAACACCACAACAAGATATTGTTGCTGAAAGAAAGAATAGAAACTTCTTAGAGGTGATCATGCTTTGAGTATGAATGTACCTAAAAATTTCCGGTTTGAAGCTATGCTCACTGATCAATCAGACGCCATCTCATGTTTTAAATTACAAACATCCTTCTCCATTTTGAACATCCACTATTACGTGTTCCCCCTAAAGTCATTGGTTGAGTTTCCTTTGCTAGTGTTCGTTATCCATACTGTACAAGTTTTTTTTTTTGAGAAAGATCCATACTATACAAAGTTGAATCCCAAATTTAAAAAAAGTACTTTATCTTGGTTATCAGTCTTCTCAAAAGTGTTACAAATGCTATGATCATGTGTTAGGAAAAAAATTTGTCTCAATGGATGTTACGTTCTTTGAGTCCGCTCCACCCCTTCTTTACACCTCTCTAGAGGGGTAGCATAGTGTGGAAGAGAGGTCTTCTATTCCTATTTCAACTTTTCCTGATTCTGGAACTCAGAGGGACAGTGGGGAGCAATCTCATGATGATGAAGAGAAAAAATAAAAGCCTATATCTGGTGGAAACAA